AACAGAGAGCGCGTGAGTAGATCTGAACGCGCAACCATCCAAACTGACATGTTCTGCAATGTTCGCGAACGTTCTGCGCTGTTTGTTGCACCGGTCTTGATGCACCTTTAACTGCACTAACTTTTTGCTTTTTTTTCTTCAGGAAATGAAGTAGGGAGTTCCATAGATAGGCAGTAGAGTACGCTACCAAAAAGAAGCCCTATATTTAGTGGTCCTTGGAGTAGCCAACTTTACCACATGTGGATCAGAGCAGGTTCTTGTGGTTCTATGTCCCGCGCAATAGCGATAGAATAACGACAAGTCGGCCACCTTACGTGTATGTTCGAGAGATCACAATTAATGGGTGAGAGTTGGGCAAAGGACCTGGGCTGGGATCACGACAAGTGGAATTCTACTTTCATGACGTCACCTGCGACCTTTTTATCGCGTACAGTACAGGCGATGATGACGGTTGCTAGGCAACCTGAGGTCATGAAAGTAGAATTCTACTTGTCGCGATCCCAGCCCAGGACCTCGATCCAATCGGGCAGTCCAAAATTCGATGACGTACTTGTTGGTTGTGTAACTCTAAGGGTGGGTATTATAAAACTGCTTTGACAGTTAACTTGAAGTTAACTTTTTGAAATACATGTAATTCCAGAAGCTAACTCTCAAAGTAGTTTTATAATACCCGCCCTAAGCCTTGTTGGTCATACGGTTGCAAACATTTCTGGCCGCCGTAAAGGACGATCGAGCTACAGCCTACGACGAGATATTGGAGCAGGGGCTGAGGGTATAACAAATGAACTTCGAGCGAAAATCAATTCGTGGTCTGATTTACCCAAAGGTGCAAACACACTGATCCTGTAAGGATCGGGATTAGGGGTAAGAAACAAATCGAGCAAATTGGCCTGTTGAGAAACGGAATCGTGCCTGGGCTCTTCTACCGACTGGGTTAGGCCGTGTGAAATGGGAAATGCTCTAGCAATTCTTCCAGCATGCGTTGTTTTGTACAAGAACTCAAGCCACTCTGAGTTATGAGCATCGAAATCTCTCAAAAATATAATTCCGGAGTTCAGATGGGTCTACTGTATAAAATTTTGCCAGATTTTCAAATAGAAGTTCATAACCAGTCGTTAGGTGAAACATACACGCAAACTTAACCGTTCGTACAAGTAATTTTCAGCCAAATTACATCGTGATCAGGTGATTCGAGATCATCCTCTCTGTGACAAGGGAGCTCACTGCGAGAAAAGACACACAATATTTCTGGAACAAATCAATGCCTTGATGTGTGATTTCTGTAAAACTCAATGCCCTTTTATTAATTTATGGTAATAGCTATTCTACTTCCCTCTGTAGAAGTAATATTTTTGTACTCCATCTGCGATGGTAGGTGAATTGAGTAATTCATCAGCAAGTCTCAATTAAAGAGGAGAGTTCTTGGGAGCGTCGATCCTCCTTCATAGGGCAAAAAAGTAACCCAACACACAGGGAATTGGGCTGATTCAAGGTTGATAACCTTTGGGAAAAAAAAGTTAATGAACTGGAAAAAAAACACAATTAAGAATGGCTAGATAGCACTAGATCCTCAATGTTCTGGTCAGTTCTGATGTAGTTTCTCTTTTCACAAAAATCAATTGAGACACCATCGAAAAAAGTTTCCCGAAAGATATCCTCAACCTATATAGAGTATGTCTTGTCTCACAGCTGCCTTCTTCACACGGAAAAATGAATAAGTACCTACTATAAACTTATGGAAGGAGTAGAATGGGTATTTGCTTGAGCCCACCAGTTACCAACCTTCACATTGCTACAACTAGAGGTGCACGTTCTAAGAAAAGCACAATTGAAGCCAAAAACCTGATTCAGATAATCTCGATAACCCGTCTGCCACATGGAGATATATATGAGGCGTTTTCTCGCGTCTCAAATGTTTCAAAACATTTTTCAAAACTGGTTCAAGTAATGTCACCATGACGTAATAATTTCTCGGCGCGAGAAAATGGTTTGAAAATGTGGATTGGATTGTATTTCGAAACGGTTTGAACCAATTTTGACGTGACGTCATGGGTTTATCGCGAGAATGTACTGTTTCAAAACAGTTTTGAACTAGTTTTAAAAAAGTGGACGCAAGAAAACGCCTATGGACTCAAAAATCTAATAACCTTTTTCAGCCACATAACTAGCATACGCCCGAGCATTCAATTCACGATGGGAGTAGGAGCAGATCGGAAAAGAGCTTTTTGGGAAATGGGCTCACGCGCAAAAATTGAAGATTGGGTAAACCGTATACAGAAAACCGACGAATACAAATAGAAACCTCCAAAGCACCTGTAACCATCACTCAAGCGAATGGCTGTACAAACAGAAAACACGAGATGTTTAGACCTAAGAAAGCAGGAAACAAGGCATTTCTGTCCTAAGTAACTCAAGTTAGTGATAGCACAGGTCGAATACTAACGAAATAAAGATTACTCAAACTAACTAAAAAGCTGAAGGAGATAGTTTTCGATAAGCAAAGGACAAACGAGACCCGATATTCTCGTCAAGGATATGAAAAATCTCAAAAGATCGATCAACACCAGGCTAAACGAGCACAAGGCGCATTGCACAGCCATCACCACACACTGAACAACTAGTACCATCGAAGATAATTTGAGTAAACTCAGATATAAGCCACAACAACACAGTGGGTACGTTCACCAGTACTCAGCAGCTAACTTGCAGCGTAATGCAGTTGAGGATAGTTGAAATACAGCAGATGTAAATTTCCTGAACGACAGACACTTCTGCGCATGTCTAAAGCATAAGTTGAGTTGTTAAGCCTAAACTTTACCGCTTAGAAAAATCGGCAGCAGCTGACAAAAAGCGACTTTTGCTGAGCGTCGCTGAACACGATTGTTTTCCCAACTACTTAACTGTTGGCAACAGTTGAGTGCTGGTAAACGTACCCAGTATCACTCTAGACTTTACCTCGAAGCCTTAGAAATCAAGTACTATTCATAGAATACACTCAAACTCTTACATTTCAACAACAGAAAGAAGAGACACGCCCACTGCTTCTGGAACCGAGGGTAAGTTACCTCGCACATATAAATATGACCTTCGTTCTAGAACAGCGTACCAGTTCACCTTCAGAGCCGTTTGTGGAAACAGTTCTCTTGAAGATGCCATTAGGCACTCGAATCGGCGACCACCAAACAAAACAACAACCACATTCAGAAATTCATGTCTAAAACTTCGGATCTAGAAGTAGGTAAGTAATGGATTAGCAAATAACAACATTACGGAAGAGAACATTCCGGACAGTCGTACTCATAGACAAAAAATATATACAGAATATAGAAAATATTGCAAGTCACAATAAAAACTGTTGACGAAAGTACCCACTTTCAAAAGTATCCAATCATAAGTGTCTACGCACTCGATATACATATTAGAGCAAGGAACGAGAGATGAGAGGAAAATTTTATAAAGAATTACAAACAGTAGCGGGTACTAGTTGCCGACAAAATCATGATTATGCGAGAAATAAATTCTCGCAGATCAGAGATGGATCGTTGGAAGGCATAACCCAGACATTTTTTAAAAACAGAAAAAATAAAAATAGACGCACCCATTTCGACAAAAATAAACAATAACAAATATAAATATGGCTACATGGCAGAATGCAGATGATACTGATGGGTTTGAGAAAATGCAGCTAATAATAGAGGCAGCGATCACCAAATGACCTAGAAAAAAATCACGTCACTTACCTTAGAAACAAAATGATGAATTAAACAATTTTGGTAACACCTGTCAGCACTTGATCTCTGATGTAGGTAAGCGACCACGTGTTTCGCAAATCACCTTAGTTTGAGAGCAGACTGAATGGCGACAAAATTAATGATGTTAAAATCACAAATATTCATGTTTGGACATTACACAGTTCTGATTATTTGCCCTATTTTGACATTCACTCCACTTCACTTCACCTCACTACTGACTCACCCGCTGGGTTTGCTTCTCCACATACTTTTTTCACCTGGCCACGTTCTTTCTCTCGATCGAAGACATACCAATGGCAGATGAAAAGATCTCTGCTCGGATTCAACAGTAAGTAACTTAGAAAATACTGCAAAATATGGCATTAGTCGCCGACTATTTTCAGGGTAAAGGGGCTCATCCATCGATCCAAAACTAGTAATTATAGGAATAAAAACCAAAACCAAGCAGCAGAAGCTTTAGGTAGGTACTAAACTCCAAAAAGTTGAAAGTCTTAGCACACTGGTCACTAGACCGGACACAAGGAGATAAAAAACACCGCCTTTAAAGAACCAACCACTCATGAAAGGTAAATTCAATAGTTAGGGTAGATAATGAAGTTACATATAGAGGTAAATTATAAAGTAATACATACGGGGGATTCTGTGTCAGTCTCGTTGAAAAAAAAAAATAAAGGTTGCAATTTTTATTGGCTGCTCGCCTTTGACGTGGAAATACTTTCCACATCAGAAAAGTTTCCGGAAAAGATTATAGAGCAGCGCTGGAGTGAGGTAACTTTAAGACCACAAAATCTCTCTATTCCAGGTATTAGTCATAGCTATTCATATTAATAGGTACGCTTTAGTATCATATAGAGATAGTATAACAATATTGACAAAAGTATTGCTGTGGAAAATCCGCAGTTGATGTGGGTAATGTTCAATTCAGTTCTATGAATAAACAAAAATTGATTGCATAATGCATCCAATTAAGTCCATAATAAAATAAACATGACAAAATATCTGCAATGTAAACAGAGCTATTTTCCGAGAATAAAATTAATATCTAACAACGCAAAATAAATGCATGCTGAGAAATTTCGCTTTTTCACAAAAACATTTCATATCATTTGGATGTTTTCCGTAATACAATATTTTTTCGTTAGGCAGATACCTACCTATTTTATTTTTAATTAACACCTTTCAAACAAAGCATAATAATGGACACCGTTGTCAAATCGAAGCGTCATTTTCAAACAAAAACAATCCCTTTTACAAAAATAACTCTGATAGTTTATTTCGGGACGAATTACAATACAATGTTGATAAACCGATATGCGCAAATTCAAATTGGCAATACTTAGTATAAATTTATGCCTAGTGATAATTCATAGGATATAATACTACAATCATTATTTTTTTCAAATTTATAAATTTCTTTTAGCAATTATACTGCATCCAAGAAGTTTCCTTCAAATTCAACTCATAAGGACAAAGGAAAGTTTGTATAGACGTACTACCTCTCAAAGTAATTAATCTTAGATCTCCAGCTTGATTAATTTGTAATGCATTATAAAGTGGTATTGTTTTAGATACAGGTCTTCCAAAAACGTCATTATTAACAACGACAACACTTCTTGATTGAGGTTGTCCAGTGATTGGATTTATATTAGAACATCTAGCAGTAGCTAAAATGCACGAAGTTATGTTTTTGTACAAAGTAATTTGGTCATCTTGATTTTCTGCTACGTTATTGAGGCTGGCTTCTATGTAACACTGAGCTACCTGAAACGAATAATTATGTTAGAATTCTATTTTGTTTTGATGATATTGTTACTTTAAAAAGTTTGGTATTAATGCCATTTAATCATTTCCCGATGTTCCTCATCAGTGGATGATTTTATTACATATATATGTTTTTAGCCTTTTCAAATGATAGTGGAATTGTTTCGGCGTAGCCGTGGAGACAGTCAAAGTAGCTAACACCTTTAGCAGAGCAAAGCGAACACTTGGATATAGTTTTATCTTTATTGCGCTCATTCAATGAAACGAGAACGTTTGTGCGAACAGATCCACTTCTCAAATCTAAAAACCTTGATTTTGTTTTGCTAAAGTTTAGTTTCTGTATCCAAGGTATCATCGTCATGGATTTGATTTAGCTAATGATCTTTATCTCGTCGTTGATTGTGTGAGAAACGTGTGTTCATATTTTGCTTAAGCATTTCATTAACCGCCATGATGCTGTCAACAAGATTCATAGCTGAAATTAAGTCACAATTTGCTTTTTCAAGACATTTGTAGGGGCCTATGGTATATTTTTGAACCACTTGAGCTTAGCAAACTGTAATGATGAATTCGGAGGAACAGGTCGAATTTAAAAACTGAGAAGCTTTTGATGAAGTATCTATTTGTTACTAGTGATACATCTTCTAAGAAAGAATTAGAAGGTATTAGAATAATTGATAATTCTTGTAGTGTATAGCCAATATTAGGATAATCCCTTTACCTTGAATTGATATTCGTTTACTGTTTACGTTGAATAAAAAAATAAATAAAATCCGTTACCCGCGGAGGTGAGTTCATTCACTCCACCAATGTGGGCAATGGATGATTACTGAAGTGATTACGTGTTTTATTTTATTCCTTCAAATGCCTAAAACCAAATAGTACAATTCTTAATAACCATAGCTATAATCCATGCTGACTGACTACCGAATCACCAAATTTTCTATGTTTCCACCACAAAGCGTTTTAAATATTGAGCGACTTGAACATGAAGACACCAAAACAGACTGCCAGCTCTTAGTGAATGAAAAATTTCACTGGTCAATGTCTAGTTCTAGTAGAACAGCTAGGCTATCAGTCTGCAGGATTAATTTGATGAAATTTAGAACTTCATAAATCAAAAGAAGAAGTTTACAAAATCTACGAATCTACAAAACGATCCAAACTTATCTAAAAAATATAAAAAAGTACATTCAAGCAGAGGCTGAAGTACAAGGAAGCACAAGAATGCTGAGAAACAAATGATGACGAATGAAGACTCTGACATTGCAAAGTCCCTCAACAAAACGTCTAAAAGCCCTGGATCTAAAGATAGAACTCAGCTTCTCAAAGATCCAAGTTCTAGTAGCTATTCGTTTACTGTTTACGTTGAATAAAAAAATAAATAAAATCCGTTACCCGCGGAGGTGAGATCATTCACTCCACCAAGGTGGGCAATGGATGATTACTGAAGTGATTACGTGTTTTATTTTATTCCTTCAAATGCCTAAAACCAAATAGTACAAATTGGCGACGAGGATTAAAATCAGAAACTGTTGCAAAAGTAAGTAAATTAAAGTCAATTTAATTTAGAGAACACAACAATAAATAACTATTATGAAATTGAGATACATAAACAAAGGAAATATTGCCACTAGCAAGTATAATTAAATAGTCTAATGAAATTGTGCTTGTGTGGGCATTATTAAATAGATAAATGAAATAAAAATTGTTGAATATTATCGTTATATTATCAATCGAAATTATGCAATGTGTTATGTGTGGAATTAAATAGATTAATGAAATTCTACTACATGTACGTAATTAAATAGATAGATAAACGAAATTATGCCATGTGTTATGTGTGGAATTAAATAGATTTATGAAATTCTACTACATGAGCGTAATTAAATAGATAAACGAAATTAGATTGTGAGCATTATTAAATAGATAAATGAAATAAAAGCTGTTAAATGTTTATTAAACGAAATTATGCCATGTGTTATGTGTGGAATTAAATAGATTAATGAAATTCTACTACATGTGTGTAATTAAATAGATAGATAAACGAAATTAGATTGTGAGCATTATTAAATAGATAAATGAAATAAAAGCTGTTAAATGTTTATTAAACGAAATTATGCCATGTCTTATATGTGGAATTAAATAGATTAATGAAATTCTACGACATGTGCGTAATTAAATAGATAGATTAACGAAATTCTGCCATGTGTTATGCGTGGAATTAAATAGAATAATGAAATTCTACTACATGATGTGTGTAATTAAATAGATAGATAAACGAAATTAGATTGTGAGCATTATTAAATAGATAAATGAAATAAAAGTTGTTAAATATTTATTAAAACCAAATTATGCCATGTGTCATGTGTAGAATTAAATAGATTAACGAAATTCTACTACATGTGCGTAACTAAATAGATATATAGACGAAATTATATTGTGTGCATTATTAAATACATAAATGAAATAAAAGTTGTTGAAAGTTATCAAATGAGATAATTATGCCATGTGTCATGTGTTGAATTGAATAGATTGATGAAATTCTACTAAGTTCATGTGCGTAATTGTATAGATAGACAAAATAAGCTTATGTGGTTTAAGATGTCGAATTTAACGCCATTGGAGCCATTCAATTGTGAGGGCGAAGTCGGTTCTGTAGGGACTCGATGGAAAAAGTGGAAAAGAGCCCTCAAATGGTTATTTTTGTATCTATGTATTTTTTTAACGAGGCGCAGCCGAGTAAAAAAAATAGTCGAGATCACCAAAGTATTTCGCGCACGAGTTGCAAACAATATTTTTTCTACAACTTCATTTAAATATCGATGATTCGAAGCTAAAATTGCATTGACAATGAAAAGCAGGTGAATTTTAATTATTTTTGGTTTCCTGTCAGGTGCCAGGTATTTGTTACCTGAGTGTGCGAACTAGGCATTTCGCACACTGGAAAATCATTTCGCACACGGCGTCATGGGAACGTTAAAAAAAAATCTACCTGGAGAAAAAAGTGTCACTTCGCAAATTGTCACCAGTGTGCAAACATCATCTTTTTTTTGACAGTGGTAAAAAAATTTATTTAGATGCAGCCAATGTCATTGAACCATCAAAAAAGAGAGCCACAATACTTCACACAGGAGGGTTGAGCATACAAGATATTGTTAATATTACAATCTTCCTGGTGCCATGTGCCTCATATAGACAAAGTGGCTTTAAACAAACTAGATGAGTATTTTAGGCCAAAGACAAAGTAAACTATAGGAGAAGCATATCTTTCGCCTAATTAAGCAAGAACCGTCAGAAAAATTCGAAAAATTTTGCTGAGGATTAGAAATCAAGCAGAAAAATGTAGATTTGTTAGATCTGAAGAACATTTAATTGACCAGATTGTGGAAAATGCGACTTCACCGACTTGAGGTTGAAAATACTCCCAATGGGTGACACCGTTACCCTAGATGCAATAGTAAATGAAGCAAATTCCCTAGAAGCCGTAACCCAACAAATGGAAGACTTCAAAGATAAGAGGTCCCAGGAAGGTATTAACAGAGTGTCGGAAACGAGATACTCATCAAAAAATCAACCTGCAGCAAACATAACGAGATGTTACCGCTGTGGGAGAAAATACCATCTTTCATATGAATGTCCAGAAAAAGTTGCAATTTGTCAAAAATGTAACTCAACTGAACTCAAACTCAAAATGTGCTTTATTGTGTAAATATAAATATTTGTTCACAAAAGCTGATCCTATGTCTAAAAAATTAAGTACACAGTTGTAGTAAGGGAAAATATCTAAATGTTCACCTACTTAAAATAGAAAAGCTCACAAAACATTTAAGAAATAAAAATCAGTCATAAAAAATAATACTTAAAACTAATAAGAGTCATATACAAACAAAACTTAAAAAATTTAGAGGACATACAGCTCAGTGTTGCAGAACAAAAAAGAAAGTTAGGCAAAGACTATCCAAAAAATGACTGGAAGAAACAAAAACATGGAAAGGTTGATAACGACGATGTTGATTACGTGTTTCATCTAGACAGTGAAAATTAAATTGCCTGTTGTATTGGAGGAACAACGATTCAAATGATTATAGATTCTGGATGTAAGTGTAACATATTGAACGATACCTATAACCAATCTCCTAAAACAATCCAAAGAAGTGGTCTCAAATCACATCGAAAAACCAAACAAAGTCTTTATGGCCTATGCTAGTAATCAACCTTTGGATATTTTAGGATGTTTCGACGCTGAAATAAGTATTGGTAAAACTAATATTCGGAACACTGCCACATTTTATGTTGCAAAAAATGGTAGTAAAAATTCGCTAGGCAGAGATACTGATCAATCTTTAGGTGTATTACGAATCAGAATTGAAGTAAAAGCCATAACTGTTTTTCCCAAATACCTAGGTATATATGGAAATGTTCCAGCCCAGGCGTTTTATTTTGGTATAAGATTCCTTAAGTTTGCGAAAAGCGTTGCTGTTCTTTGTTTCAATATTTATCTATTTGTGCCTGTTTTCCCAATTTTAGCTTCAGCAATTCTTCTAAGAACCTTGTCAATGTAGCTTAAATAGCAATCCAGTTACCTATACAGGGTGTCCCAAAAAGATGCCGACAAACTTTAAGGGGTAGTAGGGGACATCAAAACAAGCATTTTTGTTTATATAAACATATGTCCGCAAATGAGCCATTTGGGCTGTAGAGCAAAAAAGCTGTTTTGTACTTAGTTTTATTCTTCGCAATAATTAAATCACTGTTTACTTATTAATTTTGCTTTATTAACAAATAAATTATGGTTTACAATAATTGTTCAACTCGCGAACTCTTTGGAATATTCCGGGAATAGCTTCTACATGGGTACAACTCGCCAGTATCCTTGCTAACAGATCTTCCTACTTATGAACAGGTGTTTCATAGACTAAACTTTTCAATCAATGACCCGACGGTGCAATCTTTGCATTGAAGTAAATGGTCAACATTTTGAACAATTATTGTAAACC